TTAATGTAAACTGCGTGTATCGCGCGGCATGCCACTTTCCGTAACCGCTTGTCGTTACCGCTCGAATGTAATTGGCCCATGGACGATTACACACGTTCAATTTACGTGTAATTGTACACTTCTCCGACGATCTTGCACAACAGTCTTCCTTCTTGTCGTGAACAAAATCGCCTAAAACTGCACGCGTTTTACCACTTGTTGTTTCTAGGTGTCTGTCTTCGAGGAGAAGAAGAAGGCTGGCTAGCCAGTTGCCTGAAGGGGATAAAAATTTCCAATGTTGGCTGACAAAACAGCAAAATACTGTTGTGGTAGGGTTAGCCTCACGTGATACACGACGCCACGAGTCAGCGCCGACAGAAAAATTAAAGTTGGGATAAATGAGTCTTTATTTTCTCTGTAGGACTTGGAAGGTTTGCAGCACGCGCGTATCTGGAGAGCTTCAATTTCGATCAGTTGGATTTGTTCTCTCTAAGAGCATAAAGAATGGTTATGTGCTACGAGGAAATATGCAGAAGAAACTTTACCTTACCATTTCTTAGGGAAAAAATCAAGATATCTATGAGCTTACAGACTTTTTGTAGCCACACTGGGTATCTAATCCTCGGTTTATAAACGGTTATTTCACAGCTTAATTCCAAAATATACCGTCCATATACATCGACTACTGATTGATACCAGATAAAATTTTGCCATAAGATGTAAAACCTTTCCTCGCAACGTTTATTGTCAAGAGGCTTTGAGAAGTGAATTCTTGCCCCCCCCCCCAAAAAAAAATGAGTTCCCAATTCACGCAACAGGATAAGCATGGCTCCTTCCTTCATTCGTGCTCAGACCAACTCTGACATTTCTATCGAGTCGTTTAAGTCACACCACCCAGCGCCCGATCGCGTCTGTAATGAGAAGAAAGAAGATGGGTGCGTCAATAAGAGAGCGCATTTCGAGTCGTGACTTCTGAAAGGTCGCGGCGACCCTGGCCTTGGTCTTTTACCTCGAATTACAAGAACTCTAATTTTAGAATACAGAGAGACGTGACTCCAGTTCGCGGTTTCGGCTCGCGCTTCGTTAAAGATGGCTCATCCTTAAAGTGACATGGAATCGAGATATCTGCTTATATGGGCATGATGATATCGGCAGATTGAGACGGTGTTTTCTTCGCAGTTGAGAAGAGCGAGGCCTATCCGCCTTTAGCAGAAGCACCCCCTCATCGGTCGAAAAGACCTATGCTGGCGAGGAGTGTATGTTTGTTTGATCGCGTAGGCCTACGCCATGCATGCATTTCATAGTCGTTCCGTGAACCAGCGAAGTGTGGTGTTTCCCTCTCAGGAGGAACCTCTCTAAAAACATCCCCCATCTGAAGAGAATTCCTGAGATACCAGTATAACAATGACCAACACAAAAGCGGGGGGGGGTTCTCTCTGTGCCATAATTTGCTTCATATTGGAGCCTCCGTTGCTATAGGGAAAATCTCGCCCTCTTTTGGTTACACTCGGGGCCCATAGTCGTCACAGCCTGCGACTTGGAAGTTCCTTCGCTATTTGGTTACTCCTTCAGCAAGCCGTTCAATATTCACAAAGCCTGTCTAGCTGTCCACGTAGGCACACACACAGGTGTAAAGACAGCGACATCTACGTAGGAGTAACATGCGATAGACGCCGCATCCCATCAGGGGTGGATTTCACGCTAGAACGGTGATTTTTCTGAATAAAATATTCCGCACCCTATTTAAACAGCCGTGCTAGGTTGCTTGCAGTGATGTCCTTTCTAAGTGAAACCTCAAATGTTCTCCCTAATGCTGTCTTTCCAACCAATCCACGCAGTCCCATTCATGCATATTACTACGTGTTACGACAACACAAACAAGATATAAATACTTGTTTGCTTTTTAAGTGAAAAGAGGATGGTAGCTTTCTAGGTACAGAAACTACTTTTCAAACACTTGTCCAAGAAACTGTTTAATATGAAAACCAATTATAGAAACTAAGAAAAAATGGAAAAGTATGATGCATTATTGTATCACAATGATACGGAGACAAGCACTTTACCCTATAAATGACATCACGCTTTCGCTTAGCATAAAATCCAAAATGTTGAGATTTATCCCTTGTATACTGTTACAAAGAAGATGGACAGTGATCGTGACGTAAATGTGCTTTATGTGTTAAAGTCAAAAAAATCCTATGGCTCCTTTAAAATGGTTAAACGTTGAAGGAGACTGCAGGGTTTTCGCTTATACGCCTTGTACGTCCTGTGATTGACCCATCGAATACCTTGCCTTACCCGGGCGCCCACCCCTTTTCCTTTCGACTCACCACGGCCTGAATATTGTCAGTAAATTTCCTGTAGCTCCCGTGGGTGAAGCAATCGGGAAATCAGTCCCTTGAACCAAGCCCCCCTTCGTTATACATCGGAACTGCACAGCAAGCAGGTTGCTGGCCTAGTTTCTTATCGGCGCATTGCAATATCTGCTGATTCAAACATCGTGACGATCGAAGGCTCACGTTGTTCGAGCATTACCCCCTCCACTTTAAAAGTGCTGGATTTGCCGTACATCAAGTCGTCACCTTTAACGGAGACCCTGAAAACTCATCACCCTCTTGGTAACAACCCGTGGCCTGATTGTGTCACGTCTGGTTTGGAAACTTTGTTGGTGCATGCATTTCCTGACCGAAACATACTATCCCGATGATTGATAGTCAAACAAAGACCAAGAAAGTTTATAGTGTGATTAAGCGACCAGTTTTAGATGCCAGTGCTGCGCTGGCACAACGCTCGTGGACAGTTGGTAGGCGCGTGTTTGTCTCCTCAACCATTAGGGTGCCGTAGTTTGATAAAAACACGCACTCGCACCCAGGTATACAGGCCTACTCCACAGTGCAATTTGTACAAAATTCCATTCGGAAACGCAAAGGATTTTGGGAAGGTTGAATTGACCTAACGCGAGCGCAGTGTTGGTGGTTTCGTGCTTGACGTTAGTATCTGACATCCAACAACTGTGCGCTCTTCTAACCTCCCAACTGAAAATCGTGTCGGGAGAGTGTCATAACATTACCCGTACCGAGCGACTTTATGTTCCAAGGGAGAAAAATTCCAACCCACTCATGACAGAAACCATCCAAAAGTTTCCCAAACGATCGTGGAATGATACATCGACCAGTTGGCCTCGATATTGACTGATTGTAATGCCCTGTAGAGTTTCAGCGTGACCTTAACTTCGTGACCTTCGCTGGTTACGGAGGAAGATTTTTATTGATCCCGATGCACGTCTGGAATCGCTATTTCTAGATGGGATTACCAGTGTAGTTTACTGCAGTTACTGGGGGACTGAAAGACCCTAGATTTTGAGAAAACATTCATCGACAAACAGACTGTTGCCTCCTTCTTATAACAGATGAATTAGATGTAGGCCCTACACAGAAGCTCAAGCGAACCGTTAATTTCGAAACTCAGCCATCCAACCATGTGGCTCTCAATTATGCAACTATACCCTGCTACACTTTGTATGCCTTCCTTGTATGGCCAAAAGCATGATGAAATCGTTCCTCCGGAAAAGCAAAGCAAATAAGATTTGGAACGAGAGCACCTTGCTTTTTTTTGCACTTGCTATTGGGACAGATTACCGGCTGCTGTTTAGCTCTATAAGATGGCCTTTATGTACCTCATACACTGAGGGCGTGGCTGCGTCATACATGTTCCTGCACGTATCGCCGGTTGCATTTCAGAAAGGCAATCGATAATGTCAAATGTATGAGAAACATTAACGAGATATGGAAATAGCCCAATGACTCACCGCAGGCTATACACGCACGGGCACCCAATAACAACCTGGTCTGTTTACTATGCCGGATCTCGATTTCTCTTTCCGCACTCGCAAATTGTCCAAACGTGTTCGGAATTGTTGAAAACCTCAGGTCAGGTAATCGTCTAGGAGTCCAGATGGCGGTCCGGTCCCCTTTGGCCGGACGCGTTCTACACGGTCAAATAAAGGTGTGTCAAGCACCCTATCCGCAGTGAACTCACAGTGATGACATCTGCGTCCTGCATAATACTGGAGGGATATGACCTTGACCCGAAAGTGGTCAAGTGCAAACAAGGAATGGAATATGGGAAGGCAAGTTATCTTTTGGCGATTCAGATAACACGGACTGAGCCCTCTATGGAAGTAAACTTTACGAAGTTCAAAATAGTCCTACAATAACCCGTAGAGGGCGGTGTGTATTTTGATAGACGGCGCTATAAACTAAACTTTGTGATATCCTTTAAGCGTCCAGATGAGTTCACCAGGGATTTTTTTAACCATCTTACGACCACTCAATAATTCAGCGAGCACGTCATTTCAAGGCAGATCTATTGGCCAAAAGTAACTGATTTATCAGATCAAAGGACTGTAATCGGTAACTAGGCCAATATAACTCTAAACGTAGTTGAGAGCATGTTGACCACTGTACACAACTTTGACCTCTCCTTTCGGCTCAAAAATTAATATATCAATGTAGGCCACTCAAGCTTAAACACATCCAGTATCGATATCATCGTCCTGGCAGTGCCCGGTATTATGTGTTAACTTATCATACCCCCAATCTTGGTCGGTTTATAAGTTACGAAGTTTCCCTTGATTCCAAAATCCGGGATAGCCTCCGATTCTGCGTCATATGACGAGAACTCTCAGTTTATTTGTGTGTGGACGACATTTGTTCTTACAAAGGCTCACACAAAACTATTTGTCGTTACTCTGGATTATTATGAAAATGAAAACTGGTGCCAATGTTTGTTCTATCGCCATATATCATTCAACACTAAAAGCTTCTCAAGACGGGAGAGGGTTATTTGGGAAGGGCGCGCCTCCGAGTCTTAGAAGGGTTGGACTGGCCTTTAAGAAGGGGAAATCAATCCTTAGAAAGTCAATTAGTTTGAAAAAATAGATTTTTTGGTGAGTGAGGGCACTTCCATCTTAGACATTCGGTGTTTGAGCTAAGTTTCCTTTTAAAACACTTTTTCCACTTTCAAAACATTGAGAAAAGATTATTATCTCCTCTTGAAAGTTGGATATAAGCCAGCACGCCCTCTTGTGGCGAAGGCATTTGCTCCAAGCGAAAGTGCAGCAGCAGGTGCTCAATGGGAAACACTGTGATACTGGCAGGAAGTCTAGTTTTCAAAAGGAAAAAGATGCTGAATTCGATAAGCCAGGCACAAAGGGACTGGAGTATGAAACTGAAACTAGGGAAAATAGATGTCCCAGGTTGTTGGTCCACGAAAAACGAATTCTGGTCTAAAGAATGATAGTTCTGTGGTCGTTGTGAGATTGTTCTGGCCATTCAGAAGGAACATTTTTGCTGCTCGCCGTCACGCGTCGCGGTCCGCCGTAGTTTCCGCATCCGGGTGCTGCATATCCACGGCGCTCGAGCGAGCTCCGTTGTTTCGTCGTGTGTCTTGCTTGAGTGTCTTCGGGCTTCCTTGCTCCCGACGCTGACCCTGTGGTCTGTCTGGCGTCGGTCCGTGGAGAAATGACGCAGATTCTTTGATTAATTCGAACATGGCCGTCTTAAAGTCGAATGAGTGGCTGGTTGCTGCCGAGTTTGTGGTGCTTCTTTCGTTTGTATTTGCTGAACAGGAGAGGTTTTCAATCGAAAGGTGAGTTTTGTAATCACCCCGCCCTTTTTTGCACATGTGAGACACAAGTTTTGTTCGATATAATATTACTCAATTGCTGTGGAGAAAAATCTGAACAACAAAAAATCAACCAGTTATTGGAAAAAATGTTGCATCCTAACTCCACTTCAGCGGTTGTGTACAAAGTCTATGGGGAGTGAAGAGAATGTTCTAAGTACACACTGTATTTTCCAACAACATCGGTAAATGTCTCTCAGTACAGAATTCGTGTCTTTACAGCATTTCTGGAATGACTGACCTTTATTGAGATATAATGAGAAAAGTGGAGTCAGGATGTAACATTTTTTCCTAGTTATTTACTAGGACCTGGCAAAGATGCAGTCTTCAGGGTTGAACCTGTCAAATAAACTGTAACCTGTCCAAGTTCTCAGCTTAAGCCTTTGAATAGAGTCACTTTCCCCCATTTTTATTGATCAACTTGTTTAGATCTATGCCTATAGCCTAACATTAGTGTTTGTTTGCAAGAATAAAGTTTGGTTTAAAGTTTAATGTAGTAGTTTTGTACTTTGTTCCTAGATCAAGAGTGCAGCGTGCTGTGTGCTCTGGCCCAGCATCTAAAGTCAACCAACGGTGTAGATGGTCAGGTACGAACACATACGTTTTCATACGTACTTAGCATTAACATTGAGAAACAACACAGTTTTTATGAAAAAATGTCAGATTAATTTGTATCTCAAGTTTGCCACTTTTATTATGTTGATAAGAAATGCTACTTGTTGGCAGCATTCCAGAAAAAATTAACCACGATAAAACAGTCTTAAATTTTATTTAATGAAATGTTTGTTTTTTTTGCAACAAAAATCTGCTTTTGTGCAACCACATTTGCCAAATGCTTTCCAACAGAGTACACACCTAGATTGGGCACCAATTTTTATGAATAATTGTAGACTTGTGTATAGCTTATTATGCTGTAGTTTTGTTGGAGTACAAAGAATTGGCCATTGGATGAGTGCCAACTCTGTTGCATTTTTGCAGGAAATTGGTTTTTTTTTTTTGCCAGGAACTTCCCCATCCTTCAGAATCTATCAGCTTGCTCGTAGAAGTCATCCATTTTTTTTCTTATTTTCCGAAGTATATAAAACATACATGTACACTCACTGTGGTGGTTATTGTCATAACTTTTACAATTTCTTTCCCGGGGTATGCCCGTCCTGCTTACAATGCTCATGGACTCTAGTATCTTCCTCAATCTTCAAATATCATCCAACTGGTAGTTTTGATAAGGGCTTGGAAGGTTAAAGGTCAGGGCACATTTTAGGGATTTTACCACTGAGGTAGTGAAGAAAAGTGCCAGGGTTAGACAGCGTGTTGGAATTTTTTTCTTTTCAGAACTTGAGTGTCCGTGCGTGAATGGCGCCTACTGCAATATCTCGTCACATAACTGTGAAGTGTGCCAAGTCACCACGACGGTCTGCACGTCTCCTTGCCGGTACCCCTGTCGCAATGGAGGCACCTGTACCTGGGAGACGGGCACCTGCCAGTGTCTGCCGGAGTTCTGGGGAGTGGACTGCAGCTCACGGAGGGAGGTCCCAGCAGTGGTCACGCCCAGAGTGACTGCCACCATTCACCAACCCGCCCCAGACCCCTATCCCAGCCCGTCCTGGCCCCGGCCTGGCACAGAGCGTTGCCCAGACCGGCCGTGCCTGAACGGAGGATGGTGCGATGCTGGGACGTGCGTCTGCCCGAGGGGTTACTACTTGCTGGATTGCAGCCTGTGCATGCCTCGTGAACAGCCGCATAAATGTCTGGACCACTGCGGCCTGGAATGTAAGCGTGGGGACTGTCTGACGGAGATCAAGAAATGCCATTGCTCTGTTGGTAAGAGATCCACTTTGGTCTTGAACTCTAAATATATATTCCAGTCACCATGTATCACATAGCAGATTGCTAGCTTGCATGGAGTTGGACCTGCGGTAGACGTCGTCCTCACTAGATACAAAGAATAAACTTTAGGTTACCAGAGAAAGTTACGTAGGTTCTGAGAATTTACTGTAAAGAAAACTTAACATTAGTGTCGTCCTTTCCAGAAAACCAGCATTATACACCTGTTTGCCTCTGTGCCCGTATTTCAATTGTTTGGCTTTTTTTTTCACTTACTGGCACCCTGTGTTTACCACCCTGGATCTGCCTTACAGGAACCATTCAGTTATTTAGTAAAAAAGATGACTTGCTGAAGTAACTGACACTAGCAAAAATGTTTGTTGTTTTTCTGGGAAATTGACAGATGTTCCAGGGAACCTTTTAATTTACAGCATGTGCTGACCTTTTAAGAAATGTGTCTTTTTGAAGGGCCTATTCTCTAAGAATGAAGTCAGCTCAATGCAGAGTGGTAGGTAGAAATCCCATTTGAGCACCTGGTCAACTGTTAATCTGATCTCCTTCAAACATCCAGATTACACGGGTGAGGATTGCAGCCTGTGCATTCCCGCGGTGGCTTACATGAACTGCACCAACCTCTGCTCGCCGATGTGCATCAACGGCGCCACCTGCAACTCAGCGACGCGCAAGTGCGAGTGTACGCCCGGGTGGACGGGCGAGAGCTGTGGCCGGCCCTGCCCCCAGGGGACGTTTGGCTTGAACTGCCTGGAGCTCTGTCAATGTCCCGTTGGACCCTGCGATCCGGTCACCGGACATTGTCTCTGTGGGCCGGATTCGCAAAACAGCCCCCACTGCACATCGCCCTGCGACTGTCTCGTGGATGGCGTGTGTTTCTCACAAGCAGACTGTCCCACAGGTAAATTAATCAACAGTTTATCAACCAGGAGTTATCCAGTAATTACATGTCATCTCACGGAGCCTTTATTTCTCCATTTTTAACCTAATTTTTCCCACCATCTTAGGGGTTAGGATTAGTGGCTTCAACAAAAGTCAACCTCAGCAGCCATCCACAGAGATGAAGAAATTTTGTTTTGTATAAACACTGTGTTTTCTACAAATATAGGCCATTTGTGTGTATACAAACACTGCTTGACTTTCTCCGATCCCACCCGTGCTTTATTTTGGTCCCTTGTATGCATATTTGACCAGACAAGAGTCTACTGTTTCTCCTCCAGTGTGCCGTTGTCTGGGTGAGGTCTGTCCATATCATGAGTCACAAAAATGTCCTTCATTAAAGGGAATGCGTCAGACCATTGTGCAGGTGTCTGTCGAAAGGTTCACATAGTTTTTTTAGTTCCCCAGTATTTTGACTGTCACTGGGTTGAATCGGCATATGCTACTTTAAGATAGACAGGTCAGAGAATGTTCCAATCAGAGCAAGACAATGTACAAAACATGTGTGTCTCACTCTTGCGAGATGAGAAAAAAAATTCGATTTAGAAGTATTCATATCAATTGTGGCTGCTCGCCAGTTCTTTGGGGGAAATGAATACCTTCTCTGTGCCAGAGGGCTTGGCATTGGATTCGACTTTCCATGATCAAATGACATGGACTTGAAAGAGACAAGGTACCTGACCCGAGACTTTCAACACGCACTTTATACTCATTGATTTGAGTAAAGAGAACCTGGTGATGTCAGAACAAATTCTGAGAATGCTTCTACAAATACATGTAGGTGCAAATGCTGAGAATGTCTGCCCTCTGTGACGACCTTGTGAACAATGACTGGCCTCTATTTGAGAGAGGAACCATTAACCCACAACAGTATTGTAATCAAGACTTTTTTCTGGACGTCGAGGAACAAGTCATGTTTTTCGCTAAAGCCCCAGTCAGTGATTCCATCAACAACACTGACCTTAAATCCAAGGACCTTTCTGCCTGGAACATTCCTTGACACTCCAGTAACCACCACTGTGCCGTAAACAAGTGGAACTGTCTCCATTCTCTAAATGGTGGTAGCATCAATCCCCACACTCCAAGTAAAGGGATGGTGACTTGGTTCTACCTTCCCATATCCTTCAAAATCTTCCAAACCTATCAGTGGATTTTCAAGGAAGTGGGATGGTTTATAATGCAGGGGCATCAGAAGTTGGGAAAGTGATGCTTGTCTCCTGGGAAAAAATATTGAAAAACAATAAAATGAAAAACGGAAGAAGAAAGCCAACTGAGGAAAGGGCATAAAAAGTACCAATTGATTTGAAAATACCTTAACCCCTTCCATCTTTGATGGTTTACCAGCTCGCTGCCGACCAGTGCTTGTCCCCTACCCGACGGGTGGTCCGCTCCCCCAGAAAAATGCCTGTGTTGGGTGATCACATTTCCACTAGCAACCAACTTTTGCCTCATCAAATTGACCTTGTGATCTGATTTCTTTTGGGACAGGGAATGAACAGCCCCCCTCAGTCCAGACTTTCCTCCCTACCACCGCTGCCGGAAGCCTGCAGGAGCACAATCAATTGCCCGCCGACCAAGCGAAGTCGATGATGACCCTGGTCATCGCCACAGCCGCTGGGGCTGCCGGGCTTCTAATTGTCGTAGTGATACTGATTGTCTGCCTGGTGAGAACAAGGCAAAAAAATACAAGGTGAGTGAGTCTCCAAGGCTCCTGGTTGAGTCGTAAGTTCACCAGGGTTCCAGTTGCATTTATCTGCTAATCAAAAACTGGGCTCACTCAGGCAGCGTACCTTGGTTTGACATAGCCCTCAGCTAACTTTTGCTTCTCTTGTTCACTTGCTGAGCAGTGTTTTTGACACAGCATCTGCATGAAATAAGTTCCTCAAATATCTTTGTCTAATAGCATCAACCCCGTAAATGGTCTTGTGTAATGTACACTCATTCAGTGGTGACTGTCTCTGTCTTCATTTAATCTATAGAATACATGAATTTTTCTTCGATTCACTTTTTGTGTATCTCTGTACTCTTCTTCAGTGCATAAAACTGTTTGACATGTATTTTGAGCTACGTGAACTGAAAAGTGCTCTTTTTTAAACATTCAAAATGGACCAAGCATTTCTGAACAAGTGAGGGCGCTTTTGCTTTGATGTAAATCCAGGAAGACATTGTTCAGTTCGCATGTCTTTATGTTCAAATTGTGAATTTGCTATCTGAAACCATTTCGACGAACAGGTTGCTGGCTTGCTTGCTTATTGTCATATATTTACTCAACAATAAATTGCCAAAGCAACTGAAATGTACAATAGCAGTGTTTAGAAAAATCCAGAAATTTCCTGTGCACAAATCAGTGAAACATTGAGGCTCAGTACCTTGATGACATCATAGTGTTGCTCATGAATATGCAAATATGTATTAGCATAAAAACCAAAAAAGGTCCAATAAAATTGGAAAAATGAGGCAAATTGAAACCCACATTGCAATTTCAAGGGATTTAGTAAAATATTTCTATTTCATGGTCCCTTTAAAGCAATCCAAGTTTGGCAATGAAGGACACGAACTCTCTAAATGATTGTTTCCTAATGGTTGGCTCATAACAGAAAGTCTTCAATTTAAATGAGTGTAAGCCACATGTCATTCCATTGGCACCATGCAATCATTAAGCTATATCCTGCCATCTTTGTATGATGAAAAACAGATGTCAAAACCTCCAAACATCACATGTCATCGATGGAAGAGGACTGAGTCACAAAGCTCATCTAGCAATTGCTGGCAAATTGATAAACAATACCCTAACATTGGAGGCAAAGCGTCAAAAGCTTGTGTAGAAACTAGGTGTATGTAAACTCGCATAAAGTTTTCCATACATGCTCAAGGTTTGGGAATAAATATGGGAAGGTTTTGAAACAAGAAGACAAAACACCCGGAGTTCCCTTTCAATCTACCATGTGGAGGTTTGGTGAAACAGCATGCAACATTGTAAAAGTGTAAAGCAGTTCACCTTTGGGATCGGGTTACTTCCCCTATTGCTAAATTACTTCCTGTAAAGTTGCCGAAAAACTGTGAAGTCATATGTACAGCTAGGAGTTTCCTATTAGTGATGTGATTCCGATAAGGGGGTTAAGTATATATAACAGGTTTTGCCCAACATATATTAATAAGCACTGTATGCTCAGTGCTTGTCCGAGAGCTTGCGAAAAAAAACCTCATAAGCTTACTCGGATGGGATTCAAACCCACGACCTCCTGCTTACTAGTGC